GCAGGAAACTTAAAACACCATTATATCGGTTTGTGTGACGTACTAATGGTGGTGCATCAGAGCTATTTTCAATCATTCCTTTTTTACTACCATGGTTGAACTATTAGTACTACTAGGTAGTCCAGTAAAAGCTTGATTCCCTCTGGTGTAACAAGTCAACAGGAGGAGGCCCAACATGGATGCCATCTGATTAGGATCTACATGGCAGGCCAAATCCTCTGTAAATCCAACAAGAAGAGACCCATCAACCAGGATACCTTCTGTTTAAGTTCCACACAAGAACAAGAACTTATCATAAATACATAGTAGTACTACTAGTATGATTATAGTATTATTCTAGTAACACAATTGATGGTAATAGTGGTAGTAATACTAGTACTAGTAGTAGCAACAAATGAGATAGAATACCACCAGATACCAAATTGTACAGTAGTAGTAACAAGGTTTACATGACATTACTAGCACAATGGTGTTACTTCTTTTACTACTAGTAGTAGCAGTTGAATATCTACACTATCAAGCCTAGTACTAGTTGCTTGTAATTATCCTGGTGAATCTTTTGTGCAAGTCTCAAGTACTACCACTGGCATTTCCAACTGTGACGTACTACCTAGCTTTTTGGGCTCTGCAAAGAATATTCTTGTTGTTTGCCTAAGATCTTACAGATTCTATGATTGTCCTACTAGTTTCTTGTAGTTATCCTGATGGATCGTTTTCATTGGCAACTCTATTAGGACTKGCATTTCCAACTACTACTACTTAGCTTTTTGGGCTCCTCAGACGATAAGCCCCTTGTTATTGTTCCAATCCAATATCTTACTACTAAGTGCTTGCAATTGTCCTGGTGAATCTGTTGAATTGGGCAAGTCTTAAGTACCACTGATAGTTCCAACCACTACCCAGTGTTTTGTGATTTCCCTACTAAGATCTTATAGTTGATGTGATTGTACTACTAATTCCTTATTTGCCTTAGATCTTACAGTTGTTGTTGTGATATCACTCATTGCTTGTTATTGTCCTGGTGAATCTATTGCATCATTTGGCAACTCGTTAGTAGGACTGGCATCTCCAAGTACTACTACCCAACAGCTTTTTGGGTTCTTTGTCAGATTGGCTTCTTGTTCTTTCTTGCTTGCTTACTAGTAAGATCTCCAGCCAGCACCTTGTTCTAGTACAAAGAGAACTCTGATACCTAATACTCACTTATTGTGATTCTCCTACTAAATTGTTTTTTGTGAACTCTATGACAGAACACCACTGGTGGTGGTAGTATTATCAACTAGAACCATGTTATCCTGTAGTAAAAACTTGAACCAAATAAGTATCATATCAACTGACTAATTCTAACTCTATCACACAATACTAGTAGAGTAGAACTCATTGATATTTCTAGTAGTACTAGCTACTCACCTTTGTATTTTTTAGCTTCTTTCATCAAACCAGGAAGATGTGAATGAGGTGGTAACAAGGGCTTCCGAAGTTTTTTTTGGGGGGGGTCTCCAGCAAGATAGAATACTTTTTACTATTTTAGAAGAATTAGTAGGCAAAATACAGCAACATGCAACAGGTTGCAAGATACAGAACACAAGCCAGCATTCTTTGCCCTATTACAAAAAAGACAATGACCCTATGAACAATAATTGTTTGTTGTTGTTTGATAGCTTCACATATGTTCCCCCAGGAAACCAATAGGCAACAACACAGGATGATCATCATGCCATTACACTCATTGGACCAAGAAGCACCACAGGGCAAAATATCAGTCTTTTCCCTCATACTAGTACCCCAAATACTACCATGAGCACCAGCACCATAACTCTGCAAAAAATAGTAAAGGTAGTTTGGTCTCATGACAGCTTGTCCAAATAACTCCCACCAAGGCATCAATAGACAAGAAGACATCAGTGTTTTGATAAAAATCAAGGAATGTTTTCAAACTGGCTGATACATTCCTAGTACTATTTTTATATATTGTGCGGGATGGGAGTACTACTACTACTACATGTAGTATTGGTACTATCTACTAGTACCAGTAGTAGAAAAACTTGCTTCTGATGGCATTGCTTATCAGCAGCCAATGATTTCTGGTGATACTAAGAATACTTCTTTTKCTGGTGCTGTTACATGTTCAATCCTGTTTCTTTTGCTACTACAATGATGTATGGCATTTTGAATTTGAAGTAATACTAGTACTAGGTAATTACTTGTTGACCATGAAAACCATGTCAAAAATGTCAAATCTATCTGTCAAAGATTTTAGTGGTACCAATAATAGTTGAAAGTAACACAAAGTGCAAATTGCTTTTCCATAGCTCAGATTACAAACTTCTTTATAGTATACCAATCAAAGCTGCTATTCTTGTGGTGTGTCACTGTCCAAGGTGTTGCTGTCTAAGAATCATGGAATAAGCTAGTGATAGTACTCCTAGTAAAAGTGCTACAGTCTCAATTGATGAGGAATTATCCATACAAATTTTCAACGAATGCAACTGTTCATTACTAACATGATTCTATCATACTACTAACTTGTTGGGCTTCACCAGGTTCTTCTTGCTGTCTCTTCATCATTTCCATCCATCTGTTGAATCAAACAGATGTGCAGCATTTCCAATTGGATGTTTGATACAGTGGGGGAATCCATGATCCTCATGATAGTAGTAGTACTAGTATGATTCAATAAGTTAGTAGTAGTACTGCAAGTGTTCTTGTTGTTCTCGTAACCACTTTCTTCTTCTTGCTGCTTCTCCAATAAATTTCCATCAATCTTTTAAAGCTTCAAAATTTTCATGAATCAAAAGGATGCCCACCATCATTCTCAATAAATGGTGATATGGAGGAATCAACCCTCCTCAGCATACTAGGTACTAGTACTAATTTCCACAATTTTTCTTCTTCTTATAGTAACTTGGATGGCAGGTTCTTGTTGTTGTTGCTGTGAAAGGATGCCCATCATTCTCAAATGGTGATATGGAGGAATCAACCCTCCTCATACTAGTATTGAATCAATTAGTACCACTATTTTTCTTGTTGTTGTTGTTGTTGTTGTTGTTGTTGTTGTTGTTGTTGTACTACTACTAGTAGTAGTAGTCCTAGTAGTAGTCCTAGTAGTAGTCCTAGTAGTAGTAACTCCTCGTCCTCTTGCTGGGTGCTGCTGGCAGCAGGTTCTTCTTCTTGTTCTTGCTGTCTCCTCCTAATATTTACCACCATCCATCTTTTGGAATTATGCAATTTTCATGAATCTAAAGGATGCATGCCCAGCAATCTAAATTAATATGGAATCAAAAATATTGAATGAGTAACAAGAATGTTATTGTAGCTTTGGTCTTGCACTCAGGGTCAAAAAAATATCAGTGGTCTGGGTTTACGATTGTGAACTTACAAATTGATAATTCGCTCTATTTAGCAAGCTTGTTTAGCTCAGTTGGTTAGAGCACTTCATTAGTAATGAAGAGGTCCGTGGTTCGAATCCGCGATCAAGCTTTTTGTGTTCCTTTTACCAAACCTACGGCCGGGCAGATCAGCACCGCCTTCCTAATGAACTATCTGGATGGAGTTGAAAGAGAGCGGATCATTGCCCACAAGAACCAAAGCAGAAAAGCAAGACTATTTATTGGGCTTCCCATCATCCTATGGTGCCGTGTTCACTTCTTATTCTACCCTTCTACCAAGCCTATTGAACAGTTGAACAGTACGTTACAACTTCGTAATCCAACAGTTGCTGCATTTCTAGTTTGCTCTGGTCGTTTCAACAGTTTCTGCCCTGCTGAGAATCGAGCCATCAAGAACCAACGCAAACCACACAAGACCACACCGGACCTCACCGCACCGCACCACACCGCACCACACCGCACCTCACAAATGAACGGAGTCGGTGGCTACTGTGCCAACGACGGCGACGAAAGCACGACGTCCTCGGAAGCCAACGACGATGATTTCGGAACGGACCCGCGGAGCGGACCGATGGGGGGAAAGACGATGGTGGTCGGGGGAAAGACCGTGGCGGCCGGGGGCAAGACAATGAAGGGCATCACGGGGGACTGCGAGGACGAGAACGAGGACGAGAACGACAGCGACAGCGTGGATACAGGAGCGGATCAGACCTCGATCGATGCGGAAGGAGAGGACGGCGATATGGAGGTCGAAGAGGAGGAGGAGGAAGAGGAAGAGGGGCACGTCGACGACGAAGAAACAGAGGACGAGGAGGAAGACGGCGTCTTTCAGCAACAGCAACAGCAACAGCAGGAGGAGGAGCAGTGGCAAACGAGAAAGAAGGATTCTCCGCCGCTTCCCACACGGGGGAAGGGCCCGGTTTCCGGAAAGACCCCGTCCCATTCGCACCTTCACGCGAATGTTAATGCGAATGCCCCCCGGCCGGACCATCCGCAACAACGGTTGCCGAGCACGGGAACCGACCAGTCCCAGCTCGAGGCCTGGAAGGAGGTCCACGCGGCCCTCACGCGGGCGGTCCTGGTCGCCAGGGAGGCCATTGCTGCCAAGAAACTCCAGAGGAGGTTCTGGCTCGAGACCATCTGCGCCAACCTCAAGCACCCCGACGAGGCGGTGGTGGCGGTTGCGGCTGCCTCCTCCGCARGCACCGAAAGCRGTGGGACCGGCGTCTTTGACCCCACCGATCCCCCCACCGAGCTACCCCTCCTGAAGACCCACTCGGTGTGGATCAAGCCCGACCAGAGGAAGAAGAAGCGGGGGTCCCAAAAGAACAAATCGTCGTCGTTGTTGTYGTCGTCGTCTCCGGTCCCGGGGGACGGAAACGACACCGGGCCGACGGGCGGTGCTTCGCCGTCCCTCCACACCGAGGGACGGGCAGCAAAGAGACAAAAGACGTCGACCAGGCGGGCGGTCCTGGCCTCCGACGGCAGCAAGCCCCTGCTCTCCCTGCTCAAGGGMAACAAGGCCTCCCTCCGGGGCAAGGCCCGGGCGAAAAAGGCCCCCCCGGCCAAGGGAGCGGCCCTCGTCAAGAAGCGCAAGCGGGCCCTGCTGCCCACCAAGGCCAAGAAAGCGGCGGAAGCCAGCGCCAGCGCCGAGTTGTCCGCGGGGAACAGCGAGACAAACCCACCGGCCGGAAAACACAAACCGAAACCCAAGATCCGTCTCAGCATGAAGAGCCCATCGGGGAGCAGGGCCTCCGTGCCNACTATCTACTAGTACCAGTAGTAGAAAAACTTGCTTCTGATGGCATTGCTTATCAGCAGCCAATGATTTCTGGTGATACTAAGAATACTTCTTTTGCTGGTGCTGTTACATGTTCAATCCTGTTTCTTTTGCTACTACAATGATGTATGGCATTTTGAATTTGAAGTAATACTAGTACTAGGTAATTACTTGTTGACCATGAAAACCATGTCAAAAATGTCAAATCTATCTGTCAAAGATTTTAGTGGTACCAATAATAGTTGAAAGTAACACAAAGTGCAAATTGCTTTTCCATAGCTCAGATTACAAACTTCTTTATAGTATACCAATCAAAGCTGCTATTCTTGTGGTGTGTCACTGTCCAAGGTGTTGCTGTCTAAGAATCATGGAATAAGCTAGTGATAGTACTCCTAGTAAAAGTGCTACAGTCTCAATTGATGTGGAATTATCCATACAAATTTTCAACGAATGCAACTGTTCATTACTAACATGATTCTATCATACTACTAACTTGTTGGGCTTCACCAGGTTCTTCTTGCTGTCTCTTCATCATTTCCATCCATCTGTTGAATCAAACAGATGTGCAGCATTTCCAATTGGATGTTTGATACAGTGGGGGAATCCATGATCCTCATGATAGTAGTAGTACTAGTATGATTCAATAAGTTAGTAGTAGTACTGCAAGTGTTCTTGTTGTTCTCGTAACCACTTTCTTCTTCTTGCTGCTTCTCCAATAAATTTCCATCAATCTTTTAAAGCTTCAAAATTTTCATGAATCAAAAGGATGCCCACCATCATTCTCAATAAATGGTGATATGGAGGAATCAACCCTCCTCAGCATACTAGGTACTAGTACTAATTTCCACAATTTTTCTTCTTCTTATAGTAACTTGGATGGCAGGTTCTTGTTGTTGTTGCTGTGAAAGGATGCCCATCATTCTCAAATGGTGATATGGAGGAATCAACCCTCCTCATACTAGTATTGAATCAATTAGTACCACTATTTTTCTTGTTGTTGTTGTTGTTGTTGTTGTTGTTGTTGTTGTTGTTGTACTACTACTAGTAGTAGTAGTCCTAGTAGTAGTCCTAGTAGTAGTCCTAGTAGTAGTAACTCCTCGTCCTCTTGCTGGGTGCTGCTGGCAGCAGGTTCTTCTTCTTGTTCTTGCTGTCTCCTCCTAATATTTACCACCATCCATCTTTTGGAATTATGCAATTTTCATGAATCTAAAGGATGCATGCCCAGCAATCTAAATTAATATGGAATCAAAAATATTGAATGAGTAACAAGAATGTTATTGTAGCTTTGGTCTTGCACTCAGGGTCAAAATATCAGTGGTCTGGGTTTACGATTGTGAAGTTACGAATTGATAATTCGCTCTAATTAGCAAGCTTGTTTAGCTCAGTTGGTTAGAGCACTTCATTAGTAATGAAGAGGTCCGTGGTTCGAATCCGCGATCAAGCTTTTTGTGTTCCTTTTACCAAACCTACGGCCGGGCAGATCAGCACCGCCTTCCTAATGAACTATCTGGATGGAGTTGAAAGAGAGCGGATCATTGCCCACAAGAACCAAAGCAGAAAAGCAAGACTATTTATTGGGCTTCCCATCATCCTATGGTGCCGTGTTCACTTCTTATTCTACCCTTCTACCAAGCCTATTGAACAGTTGAACAGTACGTTACAACTTCGTAATCCAACAGTTGCTGCATTTCTAGTTTGCTCTGGTCGTTTCAACAGTTTCTGCCCTGCTGAGAATCGAACCATCAAGAACCAACGCAAACCACACAAGACCACACCGGACCTCACCGCACCGCACCGCACCGCACCACACCGCACCTCACAAATGAACGGAGTCGGTGGCTACTGTGCCAACGACGGCGACGAAAGCACGACGTCCTCGGAAGCCAACGACGATGATTTCGGAACGGACCCGCGGAGCGGACCGATGGGGGGAAAGACGATGGTGGTCGGGGGAAAGACCGTGGCGGCCGGGGGCAAGACAATGAAGGGCATCACGGGGGACTGCGAGGACGAGAACGAGGACGAGAACGACAGCGACAGCGTGGATACAGGAGCGGATCAGACCTCGATCGATGCGGAAGGAGAGGACGGCGATATGGAGGTCGAAGAGGAGGAGGAGGAAGAGGAAGAGGGGCACGTCGACGACGAAGAAACAGAGGACGAGGAGGAAGACGGCGTCTTTCAGCAACAGCAACAGCAACAGCAGGAGGAGGAGCAGTGGCAAACGAGAAAGAAGGATTCTCCGCCGCTTCCCACACGGGGGAAGGGCCCGGTTTCCGGAAAGACCCCGTCCCATTCGCACCTTCACGCGAATGTTAATGCGAATGCCCCCCGGCCGGACCATCCGCAACAACGGTTGCCGAGCACGGGAACCGACCAGTCCCAGCTCGAGGCCTGGAAGGAGGTCCACGCGGCCCTCACGCGGGCGGTCCTGGTCGCCAGGGAGGCCATTGCTGCCAAGAAACTCCAGAGGAGGTTCTGGCTCGAGACCATCTGCGCCAACCTCAAGCACCCCGACGAGGCGGTGGTGGCGGTTGCGGCTGCCTCCTCCGCARGCACCGAAAGCRGTGGGACCGGCGTCTTTGACCCCACCGATCCCCCCACCGAGCTACCCCTCCTGAAGACCCACTCGGTGTGGATCAAGCCCGACCAGAGGAAGAAGAAGCGGGGGTCCCAAAAGAACAAATCGTCGTCGTTGTTGTYGTCGTCGTCTCCGGTCCCGGGGGACGGAAACGACACCGGGCCGACGGGCGGTGCTTCGCCGTCCCTCCACACCGAGGGACGGGCAGCAAAGAGACAAAAGACGTCGACCAGGCGGGCGGTCCTGGCCTCCGACGGCAGCAAGCCCCTGCTCTCCCTGCTCAAGGGMAACAAGGCCTCCCTCCGGGGCAAGGCCCGGGCGAAAAAGGCCCCCCCGGCCAAGGGAGCGGCCCTCGTCAAGAAGCGCAAGCGGGCCCTGCTGCCCACCAAGGCCAAGAAAGCGGCGGAAGCCAGCGCCAGCGCCGAGTTGTCCGCGGGGAACAGCGAGACAAACCCACCGGCCGGAAAACACAAACCGAAACCCAAGATCCGTCTCAGCATGAAGAGCCCATCGGGGAGCAGGGCCTCCGTGCCGACCCTGTCGGTCTTTCAGGACGACAGCGAAGAAGAGGACGACCACGAAACCGAAGACAAACGARAGGGGCACGAATCGCTCCGCCACCGCGACGCAGACGAAAAGGGATCGTCCTACTATTCCTTTTCCCTGAAAACGGACAGCGACGACGACAACGACGACGAAAGCATCCATCACAACAACAGCGACGACAGCGACGGCGACAACGCCAAGCAGGGCAATGCGGCGGAGACGGAAACCGAGGATAGCAGCGCCGGTGAAAACGAGAAGAACGACGAGAAGAACGGAAGCAGCAACAACAGCGGCGCAGACGACGACGACGACGACAACGATCGGTCGTTGCAGGCCCGGGGCAGCAACGAGGGTTGGAACTCCGCACCGGCCGGAGAGAACGCCACCGGTACCCTTCCATCGGAATCCCCCGCCGAAGGCAGCGCTGCCACCGGAGGCGCCTGCCCGGCCACCGTTCGGAGGGAAGAAGCCGATCCCCCCGGCCGCAGCGACGGTGGCAGCGACAGCGACGGGGGGGCCGGGCTGTCCGCGGACGCCGCCCGGGGGTACGGGGTCTTCGGGGCGGGCGACTCGTCCGACGACGAAGACGACATTCCCTTTTGACGTGGCGTGGCGTGGCGTGGCGTGACGTGACGGGGCAAGGTGCGTGGGCACGCACGCATTCATCCGTGCGGCACGGAGTCTCGAAACAACACGAGACCTCGCCGCTGCGCCGCCATCCATTGGTTCGACACCCGGCACGATTTGATTGCGAAGCCAAAGAAAACCTGCGTGYRTCTAGATCAAAAGGGAGCTGCGATAGTTTTTTACTACTATTGTTGTTCTTTCTAGTAGCGTCGCCCCGACGCTTGGGGAAAAATCAGGTCCGTTCCCATCGAATGAGATTCTCCGTGGCTTGTGCGTGCCGACCTAAGCTAACCAATACTGTATCACCAGAGGGTTCCGTTTCTCGATCGTCCCTCGGTCGACCGCCCGTGCCGGCCCCGCGCGATCGGTGGTTCCCGCGTTCCGGAACGAAAGCCGTGGGTTCGGCGAGCGGCGTTCCGTTCGGATCCATCGATTCGCAGCGGATCCATCGATCCATCCACGCAGTTTGCGCTGCGTTTGCGCCATCTCGGTCAAAGCACCCGGCCTTTTCCACCGCACGCTTTGGTCCAATCTTTCGAATCATCCATCTATCCCTCTATTCCGACGTGATCGGTGCTTCAAAGAATTGCCATCCAATGGTTTCCAATCCAGTCCAGCAAAATCCTATCCAATCCGATTCATTCCATCGGTCCAACCAGCACACCGCGATTGCAGACTGTTGTATCCTCACCACGTGTACAGAGCATCGGGGACGGAGGCCCCGGCCATTCGGATCGACGCGGCCCCCCGGACCGCTCGAAAGCCGTCCTCCTCGTTTTCGCTTAACCCGCTTGGCACGAGGATTTTTCTCGAGATCCCGCTCCCTTCAAAGAGCGGAGGATCCCCGCGTGCACCGTCGTCGAGACAGATCTTAGCCGTGACGTACAGGTCGTTCGATGCGTCCAAGACGGACCGCTCCCAGGACCGATCCGCCATCAAGAAATTATTCGAGGACTCGGAGAGGACGAAACTGATTGGGAAGGATTCGATCTGCGCCAACGGAATCCTGGCCCCCATGAGCGGAATCGAGGAGGAAGGATTTTCGGAAGTGCGGACGGTAACGATCAGGGAGGACGACGCGGGGTTCTGCTGGTTTCTGCTCTTTCCGTTGTCCATGGAAGAACCCATGCGATTGTTCGACGGCAGGTAGATCAGTCCACGGACAGAATATTCTTCCTCGTCGCGGTTGTATTCTTTTCCTCCATCCTGAGAGGCAGGGCAGTACGAAGAAAGAGATCCCGATGTTTTCGACGTGTTCCCTCTTGCATTCGACAGTAGAGCCGCGGGTGGAGATGACGCGGGAGGTTGCCGCACCACGTTTTGAATCCCAAGCGTCTGCGACTCGAAGTATTTGGGGCAATTATAGCTGCTCTCATCCCGGGCAGCGGGCACTGCGGCATGGCTTGCGGGAACCGGCAACAGGAGCAAGAATGCAAGTGCAGCGATTGCAATGGAACGATTTGTGTGGTTCGGAATCTCTGGTACGAAGAACTCCTTTTTGTCTCCACTGATGAACTCGCGCGGAAACTCCATAGTCGGGGTCCGGTCTGCCTTCTTCGACTCGATCGTTCTTCCGTTGGTTGCTCGAGGTTGCACCCATGCCGCCTTACGCGACAACCAGGACCATCCATGAACGCACCCGCAAACAGAGAATAGAATCGCAAGTGAGATCAGAACTCGCGCTTGTTTTCTACAATAATGATTGAGTCTGGTCATTGGTGGCAGTTCAATGCATTCCTTCGTTTCTTCGCGAAGTACGAGTAGGGTACTTTGTATTTTGGTACTTGTTTCATGATGTCAGAATCATTTCGACGATCTTGACCCCTTCAATAGGATTGACGGACAGAACGACTTCTGTCGGTCGCACATGTAGCGCACGGTAGGCAGGAATAGAAGACCTCTTTTTTCGTACTGTATTATCGTAAACTTGATTTTTCTGATAGGCTTTACAAATACTGCTATGTCTTAACAGAGCATAAAAGAATAGCTTTCCCAGAATGAGTAATGCTTGTCCGTATCAATCCGATTCTAGTGCAAGTAATTAATGCCTGATAATAATACCGGCATGTCTAACAACTGCTACATGGAGATGAGTTCCAAACCCGAGTTGACATGTTTGGAAAGTCAGACGCGTGGGGTAAGAGGTTTAGTACCGTACTCGTACCCCAGTACCCCAGCAGTAAAATGAAAAGTTATTGACTGTACAGTTATTACTTGTTCTTACGTACAGTACTTACAGTAGTATTGTACGTACGATAAGTCGTACTTTTGTATTCCTTCGAAGCGAAGATACAAATGATATTACGGCGAACCCAAACGAGCCAAAAATCATGACCAGGTTTTGACAGATTAATTTTCATTGGTCCATCAAGTATGACGGTGCACGTGAAATTGCATGACTCATTCCACAAGTTTGATGTATTTTCGATTGTATGTCCTCCACTAGTATTCCTACTATTTTTGTTTTCTACGAATGTAATTTCATTCATCGGAGTCGAATCCACGGTTTCAATCATACTTCTAGTAACTTTGCTGTACTAAATCGGTAAATGCATTCTCGAGACTTGTCCAAAGGTTTGTTGAACTAATGTTCAACCTCGAAATGATGCATGCATTCGTGGCCGCAGTAAGATGGTGTTCTGTCTCAGTGCCGATTGCACCGAGAATCAAAGGTTTGAAAATAATGGAGGAAATAGCGAAACAAACAATGGTTCTAGGTTTTTCTCGTTGTTCAGTCCAGTAGAAATCATTACTATTAAAAGTATTAATTTTTAGGTTGTCCTTTAAGTTCTAGCAAGCGTAATGATGGGTAGTATGATTGAAGGTTCTTCGAGTTCTATGGCAGCTAATGCGTCTTTCCCCTGCTCCCCCATTTGCGGTCATGAAATTACTTTGCCCCGTATATTCGAGTCGTCATGTATGAACTGCAATCGTTCTTGTTGATGCTCTGATTTGAAAGAGGGGCAATCAAAGGAAAAATTTCGGTGGGTGTCGGCAATCTTGGTGCAGGTGGAAGGTAATGGCCATGATGCCTATCAAGACTACCATTGGTTGCAATGTCTTCGTAAGATATAATATCGCAGTTGTTCGTGGACGGGGAGATGGGTTTCATTTGGTAGGACTTGTAAATGTCGTTTTCGTTAAAGCTGACGCTGCGCTTTTTTCTTGTGGAGCTCGTGATAGCAAGAGGCGCTGTGCTTGCGGCGGGTCTCGCACCTGTTTTCTTGTCCTGATCTTGCGTCAATGAATCATAGGAGGATTGGGAAGTGGTACCGTCCGATTGCTCCTCATCTTGTGCATCTTCTTTTGGTCGGCCTTCCTCTTCTTGTTCGTTTGAAAAAACAAGCATGGCGGATGAAAGGAGTGCCACCATTCGATGCTCGTTATCGGGCTTGGTGGGAAGAGGTGTTACTGTCGGATGTAAAGACTCTTCGTTGTGCGACTTGCTCAGCTTTTGCCGCTTGGCATTCTCTCGGCCATTCCTTTCATTTACCAAAGGCTGGCATTGCCCGAGAATTGCGAATTTGTTATTCATGTACTGATTGTCACCTAGCCTTTGGCATTGTGGAATCAGATGACGCTTCATTGTTGTCTTTGCGATGGCTTCGGCTTTTTCGAGTTGCATTGTTTGTGTGATTTGCAGGTGCTGTGATTTGTGTGAAGGAATTTTGGTAATGGCGTTTGCAAGCAATATTGTTACGATCCGGTCTTATTCTGTGCTTTCTTGTACTGTGTTGTGAGATCAAGTCACCCTTTCGAGATTCAAACAGGGCGAGCTCTTGATGGTGGCGATTCGAGAAAATACCTGTACTCGTATGTATTTTCGTCGTATACCGGTATTTAAGTTACTCCGTTTGCGTGCAGCAAGCAGTTAGACATGTCTTTCTCCGGAAAGTTTCATTTGTTGAAAATGAGTTCTTGCACATTCTTTGACATGAAGAACACAAAATACTTAATCCTATCCATTTCTAAATATTTGATTGGAGGAAACCGGTTCGGGTTGGTATTTGTGGAATGGAAAAACGATAGAAAGGAACGACGAAGACCATCACGGGCTGGACAGATGACTCTTAAAGAGTGCATGCACGGGAAAAGGGGATGAACTTTCGTGACACGAGGTTCAAACTTCCAAACATGTCAACATCCGTAAGAGAAAAACTTCGTGAACAATGATCATGGCGCAGCGCGTGCTGGTCGTGATGCAGGTTTGACATGCCTGACTCAACATACCGTTAAGAATCCAATTTAGGTACTCTACAGTACGATTTGTACGAGAATGCGAAAAAAGATTGTTTGGGCTTTAATTGTTTGCCACCCCACCATAAATAAGCCATTCCCATGGTGAAGAAAATCAGTCGTCGACACCAACAACACTCGAAACAGGTTGTCAAAACGTGGTTGTGTCTTGCAAATGGAGAAGGCTTGGTGTCACCAAACTTCACCCCCATCCCGAAACTCTTTTGATGCCCACGGAAGGGGACGGAACATAGTTTCGCTTTGTGCAACCTCTAGTTTACAAATTGTCTTTTTATCAAGAATTCAATATTCTTTCGTTTTATTCGTGGCATTGAATATTTTGATTTGAGATTCGCATGGGAGCGGAGAATCTTTCTGGCACTTCAGCAACGGCCTTGATTCTTCGACTGTCACCTGGACCAAAAAGAATACAGATTCGAGATTAATTATTGACATAGTAGTAATACTGTGAAAGAAGAAGAGTACGTTAACCATAACATTCATCTGGGTGATGTTGCTGGCACTTTGGATCCAGCATTTTAAATGTTGATAGTCGGTAAGAAAAAATTTGAAGTAGAAGTTCCGTGTTTGACACCATAKTGACACYACCAACTGTTCGYTCAACCATGATAGCTAAAAAATATCCTTGATGCGCTGATACCAGAACTAGAAATAGTAGTAGTACGAATAACAATAAGAAACAAAGAATGCTCTGGGAGGTAGTATGTGAAGCTAGTAGTACTATCCAACTAAGCCAAACTCCTATTTTTTTAGAACTAGCAAGAACTACTACTAGTATGGTGCCCATGGTTTGTGTTTGGTACCGCACCAGAGTAAATACTAGATTTTGCCTCGCACGACTACCTTGTCCTTATTTTAGTCGTACTATTAGCTTCTACTACTAGTAGTAGTTACTGATTTGTTGGTGGGTTATCACAACAACCCTAAATTGTCGAGATGACATAATGATCAAACCGTGATCACAAAATTGTTACACTGCGTACATGGAAAAGAAATTGGAATCACCCAGAAAAAGCTGCTGTCTTTCTTGAGTTTTGCAGTTTTCGCCACTACTAGCATAAGAAACAACGAGCTACTAGTAGTTGTTGGAATACTATCGCAGTCCAAGTCATTTTTTCTTTCATTGTTGAGGTGTGGGCCTCAAGGTGGATTGACTCAATTTGTAAACAACAGATGGTAGATCATYGAACTGCTGCTTTGGTCCCGCGGCACAAACGTTTGCTATGGATMATTTTGAACCAAACTGGATCCCATCGGATCTTCATAAACACAAGCATGCAGTAATATTGTATTATAATTGCTAAAAAAATACTACTGAAACGACATATCTCTTCAGAGGGACCAAAGGTAGAATAGTCATGCGCGGCAACCAGTTTGTCTTGCGGCMCAGAGCACAGCCGTTGCCGTCTCACCGCGTCACAGAATGCTGGTTCCCTGCTGTTCTTCCGGATACTCATCGAATCCATCCATGTCGTTCCACTCCAGGTCTCCGTAGTCCCTCCAGATAGCCACGGCGGCACCATTTCCGGTGTCGATGGTCGGAGGGACGAACGACGAATCCAGGCACGACATGCCCTCCCCCAGTTCCTCGGCGTCGCGCGCCGAGTGCAGGACGATTTCGATCGGCCGGCCCGCGCCGTCTTCCGTCGCCGTGGGTGCGTCTGGTCCTGCGCTTGCGCCTCTTTCGTCCGACGAYGCGGACAGGGCAAAGGACAGGCACTCTGGGGTCGTTGGGGCCCGTTGGCCCCAATCGGGATGGCCGTCCTGGAGGCGGTTCCACCTCGTTGTGGTAAATGCCAGAACCGGGATCCCCCGTTCCGCACACACCGGAAGGGAGAGGGCCTCGGCGGCGGCCTTGTGCCCCATGTTGTACCGGAGCATCATGGCGTCCAGCAGTGGGAGCGGAGAGGACGCGCCGYCATTGTCGTTGTCGTTGTCCCGTTCCTCCCCACGGTCCAGGGACCCCAGCCAGGCCCCCACCGAGTGGGAGTGGGTCGAGGCCCCTACGTACCGGACGGAACCGTCCCGAACCCAGGACCGCGCCAGTTCCAGGGCTTTCACCAGGTCGCCGCYGTCGTCTCCGGCTTCCTCCGGGCAGACGTATTCAAGGACGAAAAGGTCCAGGTAGTCCCCCCCGGAATAAGCGAGGGCGTCCCGTAAGCGCTGCTCCATGCCCTTCTGGGACCGATCRGTCCCACCGCTGGCCAGGAATAGGTCCTCCCGCCGAATAGGATTGTTCCCGCTGTCCTTGTTGGCCAGTTCACGAATCCCCCGCATAAAGTCCGGATACCGGTGCGGATTGTAGTAAAACAAAAAGGGGGCAGCGGGAGTTGCGTTGGCRCCAACAATTGCGTTTTCCAMCCTTTCCCGGTACTCGTTGACGATGCTCTTGGGCTGGGTGGACCGCGCCGCACCCCCCAGGGCGTAACGGCAGACGGGCAACCCCGACTTCGAAACGAGGCGTTCCGTGGAGAATGAGAACGAGGCGTCGAAGAATTCCTCCTCCTCSTCGTCGTCTCTGCCGTTGTCGGAGGCATCAGTGGYTGTTGCGTGGAGTGGCAGTAGCAAGCTATTGGTAGAAACGGAAGCAATCGCGGGAGCAAACAGAGGTCTCGATGGAATCGTCGTTTGCGGGTGGAACGCAAACGCGGCTGCCCCTATCAGCAGAGATGCAGCCAGAAAAAAAAACAGTGCCATCACCAAGCTTGGCAGCAATCGAACCGCAGGATTCCCAAACCTCTTGCAACAGCGGTTCCTGTTCTCGAGCCACCATGTCCGACGGACGATTCTTCTCGTTGTTGTTGTTGTTGGTGGTGGTGGTGCAGCTGCTGCCATCTGGTTACACTTGATGATTGGTGATCATTTCGATCATTATTACATCGCAAGACAGCACATATTTGTCCTCCACAGATGATGAAAGCTTCTTTCTTTTCTACTTG